TAAAAATGAGCTGTTATATGAGCAATAGCCATGTGGGCAGCACTGTGTCATATGCCATAGCTGTGCACAAGGTGTTTATCACAGCTCCAGACTTATTTGTTCATTAATGACGTCATCAGCGACTAGTCGACTTCGACTCGACTTTCATCACATAAAAGTCGACTTTAAAAAATCAGAAGTCGTTCAACCCCTAAACAATTGTGACTTTTTATTAAGAAATGAAAAATATAAACTGTGAGAATTAAACTTGTAACGTCACAATTTTGAGATTAACGTTGCATTTAGATGTTTTTATTTTTATTTTGCGGAGGAAAAAAGCTTTTCTCACAATTGATATAAACTAATAAATATAAACTAACTGATACACGTAAAGAAAACTTAGATTGTTTAGCAGAAAAGTCTCCCAAAAGAAGTAATGTTTACATCAATAATGTGCAATATTAATACTCTTTATTTACTTCAAAATTGTAGTTTATTGAACTTGTACAAGTATAAATTATAATTACTTTTGAGGTTATGGAACCTTTTTTTATTGAAAACACAGAACAACTTTATTGTCCTGAGGCTGGTTGCCTCAAAGTTGAGTTCTTACAGTGTTTTTGATAACAATTCACTCTTAAAGAAAGTACAACATATTAAAGGAAGAATTCATCCAAAAAATGAATACACAAAGTTATTGTTTGATGAATATGGAGCTCAGGTCACATTGACTAGTTGACTAGTGTTTTTTTTTTTTTTTAGGAAAAACATAAGAATGAGTAGAGTTTTTTGGAGTAAATACTTTTTGGCTGAACTATTGATTTAAATATCTGAATATATTGAAACACTGTCACTCACTTGCGCAGGAGCCATCAGGCATCAGCATGTATCCGTTTAAGCAGTAGCACATGTAGCTACCAAAGGTGTTCATACAGCGATGTTCACAGGGCCGAGGCTTTAGACCGCACTCATTCAGATCTGAACCCAGAGACAGAAAGAGATCATTAATGAGCAGAACATCATTATTTCTGCAGTATATAGCATATACACTGTGTGCAGTCTGGGAATTTACTGTATGCATGGAATACCTACTACTGTACGTTTGCTAAAATATGAGCCTCATGCAATCTCACAATGTAATGACCTTCCGCTGTCAATGTGATGAATGAATCAATAGTAATATCAGCCATGATACAGGGACGTCAGTCCCTTTTTACTGTAAAATATTACTGATAAGTCCATGTCTGACAATGGAGATGACCATATATTGATATGGGACTCATTTTCCCTTATGATATTTCAGGAATCATGTTGTGTGTTTTCTATTAGCTTTTAGAATCAAAACTAGCGATGCCAAATTGCATAAATAAATCAAACAAGTTTGCGCAATTCAGTTTGATTCACAGTTCACTCATGCATTGAATTGGTTATTATCATTAATGAAAAAAAAGTTACTTGAAATAAAAAAATATTACATAAAAAAATACTTTTTAAAAACTTTAAGTTGAAGTAATAAAATAACTAAAACTAAATAATCAACAAATAACTAAAACTGATGAATACAAATAAAAAAAAATAGAATAAATCATATATATATAACAAATAATAAATAAAACAAAAATAAAAATGACAAAAACACGCAACAAAATTGCTAAAAATGCAACAATTAAAGAGTTCTTACTTTTTGATAACAATTCACTCTTAAAGAAAGTACAACATATTAAAGGAAGAATTCATCCAAAAAATGAATACACAAAGTTATTGTTTGATGAATATGGAGCTCAGGTCACATTGACTAGTTGACTAGTGTTTGTTTTTTTTTTTTAGGAAAAACATAAGAATGAGTAGAGTTTTTTGGAGTAAATACTTTTTGGCTGAACTATTGATTTAAATATCTGAATATATTGAAACACTGTCACTCACTTGCGCAGGAGCCATCAGGCATCAGCATGTATCCGTTTAAGCAGTAGCACATGTAGCTACCAAAGGTGTTCATACAGCGATGTTCACAGGGCCGAGGCTTTAGACCGCACTCATTCAGATCTGAACCCAGAGACAGAAAGAGATCATTAATGAGCAGAACATCATTATTTCTGCAGTATATAGCATATACACTGTGTGCAGTCTGGGAATTTACTGTATGCATGGAATACCTACTACTGTACGTTTGCTAAAATATGAGCCTCATGCAATCTCACAATGTAATGACCTTCCGCTGTCAATGTGATGAATGAATCAATAGTAATATCAGCCATGATACAGGGACGTCAGTCCCTTTTTACTGTAAAATATTACTGATAAGTCCATGTCTGACAATGGAGATGACCATATATTGATATGGGACTCATTTTCCCTTATGATATTTCAGGAATCATGTTGTGTGTTTTCTATTAGCTTTTAGAATCAAAACTAGCGATGCCAAATTGCATAAATAAATCAAACAAGTTTGCGCAATTCAGTTTGATTCACAGTTCACTCATGCATTGAATTGGTTATTATCATTAATGAAAAAAAAGTTACTTGAAATAAAAAAATATTACATAAAAAAATACTTTTTAAAAACTTTAAGTTGAAGTAATAAAATAACTAAAACTAAATAATCAACAAATAACTAAAACTGATGAATACAAATAAAAAAAAATAGAATAAATCATATATATATAACAAATAATAAATAAAACAAAAATAAAAATGACAAAAACACGCAACAAAATTGCTAAAAATGTAACAATTAAAAAAAAACAACAACACACTAATTCAAAATATTAACAAACACTATATAATACCACTGGCACAAACCTTGAGTACATGTTTTTCCGGTGTATCCAGGGAAGCACTTGCATTTGTTGGGGCCGACACACTCGCCGTGTTTGCATCCCAGGTCACACTGAGCTGGTAAAACATTCAACAGTAGAGATATATTAGTAAAGGAAACAGCTCAGGTCAAATCCGTTCACAAAACCACACGTCTGGAAACCAAAGCCAACTTCTGTTCTCCCAGATTTCCTCTCAAAGTTCAGTGTGGTTTAAAAGCACCAAACCACAGAAGGAATGAACATATCATATGAGGTTGTGGATGGAATATTCACCCAGTGTTTCCATGTTTTGAACGACTACTCAATCGCCATATGGACACTTATACAGTATGATGACATTTTAGTGCCACATAAAAAAAAAATTGTTACAAAATTAAGATGATGAGAATAAAGCCATAGCATTGTGAGATTGAAGTCGTAACAATTTGAGATTAAAATTAAGTCTCAAAAATTTGATTCTTTTTACATGGCACTAAATTAACGTCGTACACTTGAATCCTTGTTACAAAAAACAAATAAAAAATACACAACTTTATTCTCAAAATTCATTCTCACATCCACAACTTTGTTCTCAAAGTATTACGACTTAAGCTCATTTTGCTATGACTTTATTCTATCATTGCTAAAACTTTGTTCTGGTCATTTTGATATTATCATCAAAATATTACGACTTTAATTTCACAGTACTGCGACTTTATTTTCATAATTTGTACTTCATTCTCACTATTGCGATTTAAATATCATATAAGACTTTATTCTTGTAATTTTTATTTTATCATCAAAATATTACGACTTTAATTTCACAATGCTACAACTTTATTCTCGTCATTTTGGCTTCATTATCAAAACATTACAAGTTTAATCTCATACAAGACTTTATTCTCATATTACTACGACTTTATTATTGTAATTTCTATTTTATTATCAAAATATTACGACTTTAATCTCACAATGTTCAGACTTTATTCTTGTAATTTTGGCTTTATTCTCAAAATATTAAAGTTCAATCTTGTATAAGACTTTATTATTGTATTGCTATGACTTTATTCTCAAAATATTAAAGTTTAATCTTGTATAAAACTTTATTCTCATAATTTTGACTTTATTCTCAAAATATCACGGCTTTAAACTCGTATAAGACTTTATTCTCAAAATATTAAAGTTTAATCTTGCACAAGACTTTATTATCACAATGCTATGACTATTGGTGTAATAATTACTTTATTATCAAAATATGACAACTTTAATCTCAATGCTACTACTTTATTTAGAAATTTGGATTTAATTCTATGAATATTCATATAAGACTTTATTATTGTAATTTTTACTTTATTCTCAAAATATTACAAGTTTAATCTCAAATAAGACTTTATTTTCATGATGCTATGACTTTATTCTTGTAACTTTGACTTTATCATCAAAATATTGTGACTTTTTTTTACATGGCACTAAAACGCCATTGTAGAATTGTTTAATTCTCCTCATTTACCTTCACAGTGTCCTTTGCTGTTTTTCTTCCATCCGTAGCAGCACTCCAGCCTGCTGCCGTAACGGCAAACACCTGCCAAACTCCTCGCTGGGATCTGACGCCTTTGTCTTTAAGGAAAACATCAGAAACATGTCAGTTTTACACTAAGATGGGAGGATTTCTAAGAAAATGCATTTAGATATGATCCAAAAATCACAACATGGAAGCAAAATAATGTTTTGTTTTTCATATGAAAACATAATACCAAAATTGTGAAATTTACCAAATTCTGAGTTTCTACACCAGATTTTTCAGTATACAGACTGCCATGACTAGTGTATCTCTGGACGTACAGTATTAGGCTGTCAGAGGATCACAGGTTGTTCCAGGTGAAAATGAGCCTTGATTTAAAGGTAAACGCCTCACTTTGGTGACCTGTGACCCTCCTGGACTAATTGCAGCCGTAAAAGCAGCAGAAATGGAGAAACACACATGAAGATCCAGCGGGGATTTGAACAGACAGGATGTAGGAACCTCTGCGTTTATGGCTCTTTAAGTGTTTAACAGATGCCTCTTGCAAGAACCCCTAACATTTCCGCTATAATTAAACCTTGTGCTATTCATGGCAATCACACATCAGCAGATGGATCAGGAGCTTCGTTCAAGCAGAGGTGTGTGTTGAGCAATAGTTAGCACTTAAACAGGCTTTCATAGACCTTGCATACACCTGTAAGAGGGGTTTGGCTTTGGGATTTTGCCGTATTAAATGAGCTTTTACTTCTTTGACTACTTTTCACAATTTTTTTTTTAATAAAGGCTTTGATTGTATGCATTTTCTTGACACTGAACAGGAACATTCTAAATTTTTAAATAAATAAATAATTAAAATAATTAAATAAATAGCTAACATAATAATTAAATTAACATTTAAATTAAATCAATAATTAAATATACTATATTATATAACTCAATTTTGTCAACGCTCGACTGCTCATTTGCATAAAGTTAAACATTTCTCAACTTTGTCTAGCTGCTGCACAAACCCACAATGTACTGTTGCAAAAAAAACACATTATCAGACTCAACTACAGGCCTACAAAAATTGTACTACAAAGCTACAATTAATATTCAGTAATATTATTGATTTAACTGCTTTATCACTGTCAGATGAGAACAAAACTTGAACTGAATTGAACTGAATAATGACACTATTGTCTTCTAAAATCGAAATCGTTTCATAATTGATAAACAATTTGCATTTTGCAGCATCGAAACTGTTATTGAACTGAACTGAATCAACATTGAACTGAATTGATCTGAATAATGACATTGTCTTCTATAGAGCTACTTTGCAGCTGAAATTAAATTTATTTTACAACATTATCACTGTCAATTTCCTGTTTATTAATGTGAAGCTGCTTTGAAACAATTTGTATAAAGCGCTATAGAAATAAATGTGACTTGACTTGACTTACAGACCACACAAATTCAAAATTTGTGGCTTTGAGTTAATCTCTATTATCTTTGAAATCATCTATAAGCAATAAAATGAAAACAATAATTAGTGTTTGGCCGATACACCGGCTGGTATTTGGCAATTTTTTTTAATTATCATAATTTTTTCCCCATCTTCATTAGTTTACTGTTTCTGCAATAAAATTATTAAACAGAACTGTTAAACAAAGTAAACGGCTGTGGAAAAGTATTACAGCGTTCGCTTCTTTATTAGTAGAAGATCAGTACTAAACACTAATGTTTTCTCATCTACAGGATTCAGTACATACAGATTTATATCACTTAAGTCTTTGAATAGCCTATCTAATAAACATTTAATTTCACAAACCTTGCGAACTTTGGTGAAAATAATTAATTTCTAATATAGTCAATAATTTCAGCAATTGTTATGCATGTTTTTTGTACTACTTTTAAATTAAATAGTGTGACAGTGACACCATAAATATCGGTTTTATTCTCCTCTCTAAGATACCAGCCATCTAATAAAAAAAAAAACTATATTGGTCGACCACTACTACTACTAATAATAATAACTTTGAGCAAATATACAAATTCAAATTTTACAGTTTGAAAAAAAAAAAAATGTGATGACTCATCCTGCACTACACAAATTTTCGTCCAATCAGATGCTCCCTAGAATGAGCAAGTCCCTCCCCCTAATTCATCTGCCTAGCAACAGAAAGTCAACTAAAGCCTTGAGCAATATATGATATATTACCTGCCCCAGTACTCTTTCAACAGAAAAAAAGACAAAACTGCTTTCATCAAGTGATCAACATGCTCTCTCTGGTTCCAGATGTTTGTAATTCTGCGTGCTTCTCATGTTGGTCTCTAAATTTGGACCGGGCTCCAGAGGGACGGAGTGAATCAGTGAACCGACTGAAATAAACTCTGTACAGCAGCAAATGGGAGCCAGTCGTGTGAACAGGTGGCTCATTACGGCCAAAATTAGCAGCTCATCATTGGCAGATCAGCACCGACAGCTTCCCAAACCAACACAACAACAGCCATTTACATGAATACTGCAGAAATATTTCAGATCTCAAGCTTGTGTATCATTTACAGCTACTTTTGCATTTAATAGTGATTTGATTTGATAGTTAACAGGAGGAGAATTTATTCAGGTTTACTGAAATTCATTGATTCAATCAATCAAAATAAATGCACTGAAAAAAACAGAGAGAGATATTTTCTTACTGTGGTAACACTTTACAATAAGGCCCCTTTAGTTAACATTAGTTAATGCATTAACTAACATTAACTAACAATAAGCAATACATTTGTATTTATCAATCTTTGTTAACGTTAACAAATATACAACTATTCATTATTTGTTCATGTCAGCTCAAATACATTATATTAAATGGTACTACTTTTGATTGTACACTGTAAAATAATTCCATAAAATTTACGGTAAAAAACCGGCAGCTGTGGTTGCCGGAATTTTACCGTAAAAACTATGGTAGCAACATTTTAGGTTTTACGGTTTTAACTTAAATTTACAGTTAAATACCGTAATTTCATTAACTGATATAATGTTAATATACCAACCTATTGAAGTACTGAAATCTGTTTTACATTAATTATATAACAACATGAGTTGTAACACACAACCCTATTATAAAAAACTAATAAAAAAAAAAGAAGAAAAAACATAGTTATTTCAACAAAAAACATCAAATTTGAAATATAACGCAGGGAATTCTGGGAAAGTCAATTTACGGTTATTCACTGTAAATTATACGGTCTTTTTCACTTCCAAAAACGGTATATAACCATAAAATTACATGTAATGTCCAATAAAGTTTTTCACTGTATATAGTAGGGGAATTTACCGTTAACCATTTAACAGGTTTTTACTGTAGCATTTTTACAGTCTTTTACCGTTAAATTCACAGTCATTTTTTACAGTGTAATAATGCATTAGTAAACATTAACTAAGATTAATAAATGCTTAATAAGTATTTGTGATTGTTAAATCATGTTAACTAATATAGTTAATGACTGTTAACAAACAAAACCTTATTGTAAAGTGTATTTTTGTCTTGTCTTCCATTTAAAAAAAAATCTAAATATTCATTCATCAAGATACTCGGGAAGCAAAAAGACTTCAGATATTAAGTCTTGTTTTCTGAAAAATGCACCAAAATTAAGTGAGTTTTTGCTTAAAGCATTAACAGATATCTGGCAATGAGCTAAGAAAAATAATATTGTTTTTCATTTTAATTAAGTTTGTTTTCTTCTTCTTCTTTTACGCATAAACTCACTTTTTTTTTTTTTCAGAAAACATGACAATATCAATATTGTTTATTTTTTGTTTGCAGTTTATGCATTTAATATGGTTACAAAAGCATTGAAAATTAAATACTGACCTTTAATCAAAAAAAGTTGCATTGGTCCCAAATGTTTTTGCACATTAATTACTGTTGCCTCTTAACTTATGAATTGATCTGCTCCATAAAAAAGCATCCTAAATAAGATCTCAATCGTTTCTCAGAGAAATCAGTGAGATTAAAAGAAGAAAATCCTACTTCTCAGATGTTTCTCTTGAGAAAAGACCTCGATAATCTCACATGTGTCTCTCCCCTAGAGATGCAGAAGAGATCTCAACAATGTCTTCAATATGAGCATTAACATGCTGAAGTTTTCTCCACAACAGAGGCTGTTTGATTTTAAGCAGGAGAAGGTCACTTACCTGTAGTCTGCAGATCCTGAGGAGAAATAAAGCAGAAATGACAGAGCGCTGATCCACGTCAACGCATAAACTCACTTTTTTTTTTTTTCAGAAAACATGACAATATCAATATTGTTTATTTTTTGTTTGCAGTTTATGCATTTAATATGGTTACAAAAGCATTGAAAATTAAATACTGACCTTTAATCAAAAAAAGTTGCATTGGTCCCAAATGTTTTTGCACATTAATTACTGTTGCCTCTTAACTTATGAATTGATCTGCTCCATAAAAAAGCATCCTAAATAAGATCTCAATCGTTTCTCAGAGAAATCAGTGAGATTAAAAGAAGAAAATCCTACTTCTCAGATGTTTCTCTTGAGAAAAGACCTCGATAATCTCACATGTGTCTCTCCCCTAGAGATGCAGAAGAGATCTCAACAATGTCTTCAATATGAGCATTAACATGCTGAAGTTTTCTCCACAACAGAGGCTGTTTGATTTTAAGCAGGAGAAGGTCACTTACCTGTAGTCTGCAGATCCTGAGGAGAAATAAAGCAGAAATGACAGAGCGCTGATCCACGTCAAATGCTTCATGTTTTAAAACAAGCCTCTTTATTTCTGCGCTGTCCTCTTCTCTTCTGTTTGCGTTTCCCAGTGTGACTGCAGGATGAAGTCTGCAGCGTCTCTCTCTCGTCTCGCTGAAACTCCAGAAGTCATTGCGTTGAGTGACAGAAGGGCTGGAAGTATTTTGTGGGGGTGTTTCAGACGTCTCTGAAACTCAATCTGTGACGTCTAGATTGATGGAGTCACGTCAAACAACTCACTTCATGCTCCGGGAGAAAGAAGACCTGGTTTAAGAGAAATTCAGAGTGAAAGAATGCACTCTCTTTATTCATGAATGTGAATTTGAATTGAATTGGCCACAACATACAGGAAGTTGAATTTACTTAATTGCAATTTAAAGAACGTTTACACAGTCACAATATAGAGCATTGTATTGCAACACAATTTTATGACAAAATTATTCATTTTGGCTAATTGTGCCTTTTGAAAAATGGACATATTTGAAGTACCAGTATTATTTTAGCATCACTGACACACTATTATAGCTTTTATAAAAAAAAAAATAAAAAATATATATATATATATATATATATATTCTGTTTTCACCTTAATTTTTAGTTTTATTTATTAGTTGTAGTTATTTAGTTTTAGTAATTTTGTTGTGCTTTTGTCATTTTTATGAGATTGAATTTTTTTACAATATGTCTTTAAAGTTTATATTACTTTTTGTTAGTTTTAGTTACATTTTTTATTGATTGTTTTAGATTTGCTGTTTTCACTGTAATTTTAGTTACCGTTTTAGTAATTTTGTTGTGTTTTTGTCATTTGTAACATATATAGATTTTCAAAATATGTCTATATAGTTTTTATTAATTTATTTTAGTTTTTTAGTTAATTTATTTTTAGTTTTTTATTTCCAGTTTTCACTTTAATTTGAAAGTTTCAGTAATTTTGTTGTGTGTTTTTGTCATTTTTTATTAGTTTTTTATTAAAGATGTCTATATAGATTCATTAATTTGTATGTATTATTTTTATATTTTCTGTTTTTAGTTTAATTTTAGTTAGTTTTATATATGTCTATATAGTTTTTAATAATTTTTACAGTTTATTTAGTTTGTTATTTTAGTATTTCAAGTAAACAAAAATTAGAAATGTTTTTTTTTTCTCCAAGTAACATCGTTTTAGTATTAGAGAACATAATAAACCTGATTTGTACATACATCATAGTATACAAACAAAGCTAAAACTGCATAAAACTATTAAATATATAGTATATTTAATAAATATTTAATTTAATACGATATATGAACTTTCATTTTTAATTGAATATATATATATTAATTCAAACCCATATTTTAGAACTGAACTGAAGTAAATATGTAACTTCTTCATGATCTTGATGAATGTGATGATATGTGACCCTGTCTGTGAAAACCCAGCTAAAGTAATTTTTTGGTGATTTGCTGTTTTCTATATAAAATAATCCTTCATAAGGTAAAGAACATTCTGTGAAAATGTAACATTGATATCTTTATTACTGACTGAGTAAGACCATGTCAAAGATTGAAATCATAGTGAAATTAATGGTTGAAATCAAACTGTGATGCTTGTTATCTCATAATTAGATTTTGAGACTTTAGCCTGGATTTCACAGACCCCTGTTTCACATTTGTTGAAGCTGACTGGCTCGTCAGTATCTGCTCTGGCGTGTGGTTGTGAATTTCTCTCTCTAAAGCGGAGCTGAACTGTGTTTGGGCTTGTCGTGTGCAGCTGGAACGCACTTTGAAGTGCTTCACATGATTATTAACTCTCAAGCCTGCCAGGTCATTCAAGAAAAGACAATATCCATCATTACAACAAGTGTATGCTTCTACAGCCCTGCATCTCCATGTGAAGAAGACGAACATCTGGTCAAGCCTGACAGAGCTCTGACCCCGAGGAGCAGCTCAATAAGGCCACAAACACTTACACAAGTACACAAACACAGCCAACAAATGACAGGCGTGTGTTCTGTTCTACATACTTACATGTGTTCTTGTGTTTCTGTGGCACAAACAAACCTCAGTCCTCAAGAGGGCGATAGAGTTTCCTTCAGATGATATTAAACCAGATGAACATCTTTCACTAAGATATTAGTTGCATGCCTTTGTTTTTAGCCATGTTTTCTTATGCTTACAGTAAAGCAGCTTTCATATAAAGACCTGTAACCATGCATATTTAGTCTACTTGTATGGCGTTTTTAGTAGCTTGTGATAAAAAAATCACCATTAATTGCATAAAAAAAATCTATATTCTGATGCTCTGTCAAACATCTAATTTTGTGTTTCATTGAAGAAAGAAAATAATATGTGGCTGAAATTACTTGATAAATAATTTAAAAAATATATATTTATAAATAGATACATACATAAATAAATAAACACATTGTTTTCAGCTAGCTGACAAGACAACATGTCTAATTTTCTTGATGCATTAAAATATCTAAAACTAAAGCTGAAATAAATTACTACTGACTATATATACATTTAAAAAACAACAAAAATAATAAAAAAACAATAATTAAATTTGAATTTAAAAAATAAACACACAATGAAACACAAAATTAATAAAAACTTAAACTAAAAGTGAAAGATAAAATATCAAATTAAAAACAAATTAAATACATTAATACAACTACTATGAATGAATAAATAATAAAAAAAACATTTAGACATTTAAAAAAATCTAAGGAAATGTTAGTCTACTTGTATGGCGTTTTTAGTAGCTTGTGATAAAAAAATCACCATTAATTGCATAAAAAAAATCTATATTCTGATGCTCTGTCAAACATCTAATTTTGTGTTTCATTGAAGAAAGAAAATAATATGTGGCTGAAATTACTTGATAAATAATTTAAAAAATATATATTTATAAATAGATACATACATAAATAAATAAACACATTGTTTTCAGCTAGCTGACAAGACAACATGTCTAATTTTCTTGATGCATTAAAATATCTAAAACTAAAGCTGAAATAAATTACTACTGACTATATATACATTTAAAAAACAACAAAAATAATTAAAAAAAAATAATTAAATTTGAATTTAAAAAATAAACACACAATGAAACACCAAATTAATAAAAACTTAAACTAAAAGTGAAAGATAAAATATCAAATTAAAAACGAATTAAATACATTAATACAACTACAATGAATGAATAAATAAATAAAAATTATATAGACATTTAAAAAAACTAAGGAAAATGTATTAAATCATTAGTTTAAAAACAATTAAAAATTAATAAAAAAAAACAGGCTTCGGTTTCTTCATGCAAAATATAATTTCTATATGTTTTCAATTGACCTGGACATGTTTTCATGACATTCATGGATTTAATGACCCTCATCAGATTAGAGACACTCATATTTTGTTAATTATTTAATCAGGGTTATTATAGATAGCTACAACTAAAACCATAAAAACATATTTTCGTTACTTGAAATAAAATACATGTTAACTCTCTCTCTCTCTCTCTCTCTATATATATATATATATATATCCTGTGTTGGGGAAAGTTACTTTTAAAAGTAATGCATTACAATATTGCGTTACTCCCTAAAAAAAGTAACTAATTACGTTACTTAGTTACTTTTTGTGGAAAGTAATGCGTTACGTTACTTTTGCGTTACTTTTTAAATCTGGGCTGGGCTTATTTGTTTGTTTTTAATATAAAAAGTTCTTCTTTTACAAATATAAAAGCCCTTTCACAACTAAAGGGAAATGAATGAGCCTCGGGCTGAAGGAAAAGTGAATTCACATCTGTACAGTAGAGGGCGCAGCTCAAACAATTTGCATGAAGAATATGACGCAGGAGAAGAAAGTTCAACACTATTCAGCAACAACAAAAATGAAACACAAATGTGTCATTTTTGCTTAGTATGGTTGAATTGGATCATTGAAGGTCAGCAGCAAAAACATTGGTTAATAAAATTGGATTAAATACGTAAATGATATTTGTCCTATTTAGCATATTTAATTATTGCAGGTTTGTATAATGTTCTGAGTTTGCATTTGACTGTTTTTATTCATTTTGATATATATTTATATTTAGTGTAGAACTATAGTAAGCATCACGTTCACACAGCGCACACAACGCCTCTGCACATACTCCCGATTTCTCTCAATATGGCAACACAAGAGCTGTCAGTCAATACATGGCGGAAGAAAGTAACTGGAGAAAGTAACTCAGATATTTCCTTCTAAATTAAAAAGTAATGCGTTACTTTACTAGACTTGTAATGCGTTACCCCCAACACTGTATATATATATAAACTTGTGAAGGCAACATTTCTCATTTTCATTCAGTTTAACTTTATGTACTAAAAAAATTAAACTAAAACTTAAAAAAAAAAATAATAATAAAAACTGTAAAAACACACAAATAATACTAATACTAAATACTGAAACTTTAACTAAAATTTAAATAAAAAAAATAAATAAATAAAAAAAACTAGCTCAATATTAATAAAGCTATGGTAGTCTCTCAATGATACTAAATCACACTGTATTTAGTATTATTTACTCTAGTAGGTGGCTAAAAAGCAAAGTGACAGTGAAATCATTTCTCTGCAGTAATGTCAGGTTAAGTGCTTTGAGCTGGTGAAAGGGCAGAACGGTGTTGACCTCAGTAACTCACCAGTTCAAAGGTCACCCTCATGTGGGATCAAACGCTTGACCTTAGTCCATGAGGAATCACCCTGTGCAAGGAAACCAAATGAAGCAAAGCTAATATTCACACTTTAATAAATAAGGTTAGAGGTCTGACATTAAATTAAAAGAATAGTTGACCCAAAAATGGAAATTTGCTGAAAATGTGCTCACTCTCAGGCCATCCAAGATCAGGATGAGTTTAAACAGGTCAAGTATGCAAATCAAACTGACGTCAAAAACTTGACATGACACTCATTTGATGTAAATTGAGCGTCAAACATATTAGCCTACATATACATTAAACCAATCTCAGTGTGGGATCAACTTCCTATTTTCACCCAAGAAATTGCTGTCCAAACTGAATTTAAAATGATGTTACAGCGTCTTGATCAAGCCTTGAATAACA